TGTCAAATGAAACACATAACTCAGGAGAAGCTAAATTATCCTAAACAGGAATGCTCTCTTTCTGTAGACTGATTCTGACAAAACTTGCTATGCAAGTCCAACAGCTTTCCTGCCAGTCTGCCTATCCAGATCTACAATCCTGAACTCTTTAGTTACATGTATGATAATCTGCCACAGTAGCTGAGAATTCTAGGGCTTCCTAGATACTTAAAATTCTGTGTTTTTTTACTCAAAATTAGAAAAATAAACACTCTTCTAAACCTATTTCTTTGCACTCTGGGTACCTGGGTTATAAATTATAGAGCACACTATTCAAACTCTTTATTCAGCTTCTTCAATGCACTATTTCTAATATTTGATAGGAACACTATAGCATTATACATGGCTATTAGAATACTTAAAAGCTTTCACTGTAACAGAGTGGTGCTTTTCATGAAGCTTCAAATCCCCTGTTATTTCAAAGTCAGTCCTTTGATTTGTACCAGAATCTCCACATCATCTTTGTCTCCTTAAAGATAAGAAGCAGCCTCAAAGCTGGAGCACGACCTCTGAGCAAGGCAATTCCAAAGCTAATGCCCACTGGTAAGTAAGTTTGTACAAGTTTTATTTAAAAAGCAAAGACATGCAGTCTTGGTAAAGAAAAGGACAAATTCAATGTGTTGCATCCAGTATTGGTACCTAATATTTAATACATAAAAGAACACTAGGTGAATTCATTTTTTGGTTGTTCTTTTTTTTTTTTTTAAGTCTAGTAACAAGTATAATGAAACTCTACCTCTTTCAGTTTATGAAAAACAAAATGCAAGCACAGATTCCCTACTGCCATTTTCACAACTTACTTTCCAAGTAGAAGAGACAAACAATTTTTGATCCTGGTCCAGTATAAATTAAAAAAAAAAACCCAAAACAACCTTGTAATGGTCACAGATGACTGATTTGCTGAAAGGATATCATAATACATCATAGGCATGAATATCTGGGAATATGCTAAATTAATTTTATTCAAGACACCAGTGTTAAGTCTTCTGGTTATTAAAGAGACGCACACTGAATTCAGTGTTCAAGTAAGACTAGATAATCTTATGAAGAAAACTGTTTGTTATTTTGGCCACCAGCTTGGTGGCCAAAATTAATTACTCTCCACAACCAAAACACCAAAAACAAGCCCAATACTGAGAACCCCGTATCCCCCTCACAAATGCAGGTACATCTGTGATATTATATGTAACATGGGTAACATAATTCTTGTAGGGAATGACAGCAGGAAGAAGTAAGTCTATTCTCAGTGAAAAAGTGGGGGTTAGGAGAAGGAGCTAAGAATGCAAATATTATGCATGCCTTGTGCAAGAAAAGAGAGGGAACAAGGAAGGGAATGAGAAAGCAGAAAAAGTTGAGCAAAAATTTCCCCAAAATTTTGCTCCAAGCATACTGACGAAACTTATTAATTGCATCAAACAATACAACAGTTAACCACATAGAAAATTATAGAATATGATTACCTTTCCTACAGAACAAGTTAAAAGAGATTATTACTGATAACTTTTAATTACTTTGATTCTGGGGCATAAGGTCTATATTCTCACATGTGCTGGAATGGACTAAGATAATAGTATGGTGGGTTAGAAACAACATTAGTCTTTGTTATAGGGAGGGCAAGAAAAAAGAAATTCTAAGGATTGGGAAAAAACCCCCATTTTTGAAAAATCAGATCTGAAGGTGCTTACATAGAAGAATAAATAATGAACTGTGTGACAACTGCATTGCATATCCCTACAGCCCAAACTGACAATTGACTGGGTGCCTTTATATATCTAAAGATGGTTAGATTTACTTTTATTTGAATCTGAACCCTAAACACTTATGAATATATAAAAAAGACAGACAAATTTCTGACAACTTGTTACATAATTGTTAGCTACTGTCAAGCATAACTCCAAACCAAAATAATTTTTGCTTTTGCAGTATAAAAAGCAAAGAAAGTCAAATAAAGCAATTACTATTTTTCTAAGATGGGTCTTTGCACATACCTCCAACTTTTTGGTAGAATTTTTTTTTGTTGTTTTCCAGCCTATTTTTTAATTGTATTTAAATGTATTTTAATGTATTTTAGACAAGATACAATAAGCTTTATTTTGATATCTGAGCATGAAGCGCATATCTAAATATGAATATCTAGCTGTGGATTATAGTTAAGGAGAGAAGAAAAGCACAATTAATAGCTGGTTAATGAAATGAAGAAATATCCTTTTTACAAATAGTTGAAAATGAGAATAGATACAATATCAACTATGACTTTTTTCACCAAAAATGGCAGGAAGTAGAATAGGGTGCTAATACATAAATAATTACTAACTCAAGCCAAATGTTTCATATTTGCAATGACTTGTAAGTCAGAAAATTAAACTCTGAACAGTGCCTCTGAATCTTTGATGTGCTACTGAAAGTCCTCTGTTCCGAACTGCAACAACTGCACGCACTGACATACAAACTGCAATGACTATATTCATATACTTTGATGAGCCAGTTATCAACGGACACCTCATTCATACAAAACCACTCCCTTTAGGTCATTCCTGAAGTTTAAAAATACCTGTAAAACCAGTCAAAGGACATGCATTTAATATCCTTGAACACCATAACTAAGGTTTAGGACATTTAAGTTATTAGGAGATTTAAATTATATTTTTCTCTACTGGAATTTTCACAGGCAGACTACATTAAAAACATTTTTTTCTGATAAAAATGGCAGAAAAAGTAGATTATTTTTCACTTGAAAAATAAGACATCAGACTACCACATAAAAGGCTGTAGTAGTTTAACTTGGTTGTTAGCCAAACACCACAAAGGGTAACTCCTCTGTTCAAAACGAAGTACAACCTGCTGACCATTTATCACAGTACCACAGAAGGATTCAGAGGCCATAGGCATAGCTCAAACTATTGGTATAATGCCTATTCAAACTATTGGTATAATGCCTATTCCTCCCTTAATTTTTTGCTGTTATTCAGCTTACTTCCTCTTTCTTCTTTCAAGGCTAACATTTTGATTGTCACTTAGCCCATGAGAATCTTCATATTCTTATTTAAATCCTACACAGTAATGTCCCTCAGCTGAGTTCTAAGAGAATGATGACACACAGTTTTTTTGTTGTTGAAGGCCAGAGAAGCCCTAACCCAAAAACTCCACACAGGACGTGATTTACAAAGTAAAAACAACAATACATGCAACTCAAAGGTGTCAGAAGAAGGCATTTCAGGCTTAAACAGCAAAGTACAACATAAAATATAAATCTAAAAAAAATTATTAATCTAGCCCCAAAAAATCTCAGATCACCAGTATCTCAATGTGCAAATCCAAATTTCATTAATCCGAGCTTATAATATATGGGCTGGATCAGCAGACAGTGAGGTGAATGGAAAACTGGCTGAATGGTCAGGCCTAGAGAGTCATGATCAGTGGTGTAAAGTCTAGTTGGAGGATGGTAACCAGTAGTGTATCCCAGGGGTCAATACTGGCTCCAGTCCTGTTCAACATCTCCATTAATGAGCTGGATGATGGAGCAGAGCATACCCTCAGCAAGTTTTCTGATGATACCAAACTGGGAGGAGTGGCTGATACACCAGTGGGTCATGCTGCAATCCAGAGGGACCTGGAGAAATGAGCTGACAGCAGCCTCAAGAAGTTCAACAAGAAGTGCAAAGTCCTGCACCTGGGCAGGAACAAGTCCAGCCACCAGTACATGCTGGAGGCTGTTCAGCTGGAAAGCAGCTTGGCAGAAAAGGCCTTGGGGTCCTCGTGGACACCAGGCTGAACATGAGCCAGCAATGTGTCCTTGCTGCAAAGAAGACTAATGATATCCTCAGCTGTATTAGCCAAAGTATTACCAGTAGGTCAGGGGAGGTGATCCTTCCCAACTATTCGGCACTGGTGAGGTCTCACCTCAAATACTGTGTACAGTTCTGGGCTTCCCAGAGAGTACTAGAGAGTACTCCCAGGGAGTACAAGAGAGACATGGGGCTACTGGAGAGAGTTCAAGGAAGGGCGACAAAGATGATGAAGCATCTCTCCTCTGAGGAAAGGCTGAGAGAGCTTGAACTCTTCAGCCCGGAAAAGAGAAGGACCTGGGGGGATCACATACATGTACAAAATACCCGAAGGGAGGGTGCAAAGAGCACAGAGCCAGGCTCTTTTCAGTGGTGCCCAGTGATGTGACCAGAGGCAATGGGCACAAACACACACAGGAGGTTTCCTTGAGCATCAGGAAACACTTTTTCACTGTGAAACTGACCAACCACTGGCACAGGTTGCCCAGAGAAGTTGTGGAGTCTCCATCCGTGAAGATATTTAAAAGCTGCCTGGACATGGTCCTGGGCAACTGGCTGTAGGTGGCCCTGCTTAAGCAGGGGTGGATGGAGCAGACGACCTCCAGAAGTCCCTTCCTGCCTCAACCATTCTGTGATTCTGCGAAACACTTATTGACAATAAGCATATTGCCATGCTTGAAATGAGTTTCTTTTTTTTTTTTTTTTTTAATATGGAAAGACAATGTCTCCACTAGTTACAGCTTTTTCCAAACACAGATACCATGATTGACTCATCAGTGTATGTCATCTTTCTCACCAGTTATTCAAGTAAGGTGACAAATTAAGGGTGTTCACAGCTATTTATTTCAACTTTCTTAAAGAAAACACTGAATTATACAGGGAAAAACAAGTTTCTCCCTACACTCAAAATTCTTAATCTGTTTCTTCATTACTTTAAGTCATTTGCTCTGTATTTCTGGAAGAAAAAACAGTCTGTTCATCTTTCAAACATTTACAGAGACACAGCAAGTTTATAAAGAAGTCAAGTTAATAAACAAATTTTATTACAAATATGCCCACTGATCTTTACCTTTGTGAGTGGCAAAATTAACACCAAAATTATTTCCTATGGGTAATGTAAATATTTTTGATGCTGTAACTGATATAACTTACAGAGCAAATTTCCAAAATACATACCTCTAAATGCGCTAATATCCCCATAGTGTACCTGGAGCACAAAAAATCTGCCACCTGCTTCTCCTCCAACTCTGAATCCAACACCTAAGAGAAGGAAAATGCAATACTTTAATAAAAAAATAAAATGTAAGATGTTTCATCACTGCTGACTGTATCTAAAAATACAAATCAATATAATAGCTTAGAATTAAGGGGTAGAAAATTTCACTGAGACACCAGTGAAGGACGCCATTGTCCTGAAAACTAGGAAAACCTCTGTCGCAACACATGCTGCCACAAAGACTAAGAAGCTAGGAACATAACTTAGTTATTAATGAAGAGGTATCTGCTTTAAGTAGAGAATTCTCTCAGTCCAAGAACATGAATACAGATCTGATATATATACATACAACTGCATTAAAAAAAATTAAATCAAATTTTGCCATCCTTGTAGGATTTGGCAGAACTTTCCTATCTCATACAACTTGTGAATGATACAAACTGATTAACACTGACTTACTAAGAACACACTGAAAATGAATAGATAAAAAGATCTGCAGTATAATATTTTGAGATGTAAATTAATATAATATATAGAAAAAGTCTTGTGGAAATTATGAAGCTATTCTTGACAAAAGTAAGCACAGGCACAGAAGAAAATGAAAGAATTTGAAATAATGAAATTGCAAAATACCACCATTACCAAAAGGGATTTCTCTAAACCAATTCTATAACAAACACTCTTCAAAAAAGAAGCAGAGAAAGCAATTTCTTCTTATTCAGTGAATCCCACTAGATTAAACACTGCCCATGGCAAAGCCTACTTATAAATGGGACTGCAGCCTCTCTGTGCACAAATGTAATAGCATTATAAACCACCCCCAACAAACAGCTTAGAGACAAGAAAATTATTATTAGAGGGGGTTTAACATTAAAGAAAATACCATGCCTCCCTAGAATCCTTAAAGCAACACTTTTTTTAACTTGACATCCTAATAACCAAATCAAGTAATATTTATGCTGATAAATGTGTAAATGGATTGTTAAAAATAAACCTCTTCATGATACTTTGCACTGCTCCTGGTTATGAAAAGAGGAAGTAAAAGACAAAAGAAAAAATTTTTAGAATTCAAGATATTTTCAGACTGAGGCTATACAGATGGCAGATATTTCTAGCACCCTTACTGATTATTAGAAAGAACTACTTCTCCCTGTTTTACAGGCATACCACTCTAAGAAACTTAAAAAATCTTGACTGAATTCAGGAAAGTCATCTTTCATACGAGAAAATGAGTATAAAAACATGTTGCTCAACTGAACCATAGCATCAAGAAAAGAAAATCCCATAAAATTGTCAAGTTCATTTGATAAGTATACTTAAGACATTAAGTAAGACAAATTGTTAAGTACACTTAAGACAGAAATAAATCAGTGTTTGGATTGAACTTGCTTGTGCTTTCCCAAACACACAAAAATATTTTAATGCAGTCTGTGTGATACTGAAAGATACATAAATATTATCCTTCCAATAACATATGCTAGGGAAGGCAAGATTAATGCTATATAAAAATAAAGCATTATATTATGACCATTATCTCTCCCTCAGTCTTTTTTCCCCTACTGAAACCCATAATGTTATAGTAAACAAGATGACAAAAAAACCCCAAGTGTATTAGCTAGCATAATACAGTTATAGTTTATAATGCTGACGTTTATACAGCTTCCACCAAGCAGACATAATAAAAACATTATAGAAGGATCCTAGATATGCCAGATGCTTACTTCCACATCCTCTTCTCTCCCTTGCCCCCGTACACAAGAACTATGCATTAAAGGCACAATACCTTTGGGTAGCCTGGTGGGTGGAGCATTTCTTGCCCAAGCATACAAAATGTTAGATTTGTCTTTGCACGTTCCTTCATCACAGTCCCTAAAAATATGAGGAAACAAAAGAAAGGGAATATAATTTTTAAATTTTGAAATCGGAAAAGGGCAGGTGAATTACATGTAAACCCACTATTTTTAAGATCTATTAAAATGTTTTTAGATGGGTGTTGATTAAACACAGTTCTTTTAATGTAGGGTGCTTTCCAGGATATCATTAGATGCTCGATCTTCTTTTTTCTTCCTCACACTGCCTTAAAATTGTGTTAGGCAAACAGAGTCAAAACCATGGACAGTTCTGATAGTCCCTGCCAGCCTAGTAGCCAGTGAAGAAAAAACTAATCTTTTGTAAGAATGAACCATAAGAAAATTTCTAGCACTATTAGCTAAAGTGACACTAAATGACAATGGCTGCCACATTTACACAGAGACAGGACTCATATGCAAAGCAGAAAAAAACCTGCAAGACATCAAAGCTTTAAGTCAAAGTTGATATTTAAAATTAATTTAAAAATCACTGACAAAAAAGGTGACAGGAAGCTGTATAGGAACCAACAGGTGGGAACCACTCGTTCTCTTCCCTGTACTTAACGCAAGCTCACTGCTTAGTTATTTTTTATTCCACTGCACAATTTTTTGTTTTTCACAAAGAGAAAAATCACACACACCAAAAAAAACAACCCCACCCAAAAAACAGAGGCAAAAAAAAAAAAAGACAGAAACGTTTGCCAAGTTACAGACCACAAACAGGTCACAAACACAACAACTGAGAGCTCTGTACTTGTCCCTAGCCTCTGCAGCTAACACCTTGCAGGCAACACTAAAGGTGTGAAAGACTCCCAAAGAGTGTTAAGATCTAGATACCTTGAAACTGCAAGAACTGTTAAACTCAGGGCACAGACACTACCAACTCTGTAAAAGGCCAGTCAGACACAGTCATACAGACAGCACAATGTACCTGGACCACATCCAAGAGGGCGCTTACTGCTATATGTAGGTTTAGTCTACAGGATGATACACATGGATAAACAAACAAGGGACACTAAGGTGCTTTCCAAACTCCAACCTAGAAGCCACTTCTCCCTCTCGATCCTTTATTAGGGAAAAGGGTTATTCACAGAGTGTATTTGTACCTTCTTCAGTAGCAAAGCATCACAGTACTGAGCAGAAGTCATTCCACAGGTGCAGCGTATACAGGTATGACTTTCAGAAAGCCTCAGCCTGAAACTATTCAGACGACAAAAACTGATCCAAGCCAGATGCAATTAAGGCATGATACCCAAGATAAGGTTTCATTCCAACAAAAAATGGTATAGCCCTTTCCTTCTCTGTTTATTACTGCTGGTAAAATGACACTTGGGAAAACATTTGTACATGTAATGTGTGGTTTCAGACACCAAAAATACTGGGGAAACAGGGTCTCCCACAGTATGAGGAAACGTATAAAAGCATCGAAGACCAGGACTTTTAGTAGATGTAGGCTCAGTAATGTTTCTGTTGATACCTGAGCCATGTGTGTCACATCTCAGAACAACTGATGTGATGATGATGCTTTCCAGGCTCCACTGCTAGGGATAACCAGTTCTTCCAGCACATGGGAAAAACCACCTCAGTGGGACATTACACATTTCTAAGATCCCAGAGAGCCCCACTACAACATAGCTGCTGTTTTCTTCTGACAGAAAGCATTATCATAATCATCATATTACCAACAGAAGAGAGAATGTGCCAATTCTTCCTTTTAATGAATTTTGCTTTTAACACATATTTCTAGACCTTCACAACTACTTCACAACTACCTTCACAACTACTACTACTTCACAACTAAGTCTGGTCATCTCCCTGGTCAAACATGCCCCAGTGGGCAAGCAAAACTTTTTGCAGGATAAATGAAACATTTCATGACTAAAGATTCATACAGCTGCAGCTAAAAGCTGCACTGCTTTCAACTGCTACAATATAAAACAACCAAAAGACTGTCGGGATCTAACCAGGTATTGAGCTGCACAGTTTGGAAATGTATTGAAGAGATTAGGTTAGGAGGAACAACAGCAGAAACCACAGGCACAGTTGCAGCTTCACTGCCATACTCTGGTCCACCTAGACTTCATTTATATCACAGTATTTTTTAAGAGCACAATAGCTAGCTAAAAAAACCTACATTGGCTGTTTCAAACCTTCCTCCTGAGACACTGGCCAATGGAGGGGGAAGACTGCATGGGAGAAAGATGAAACACACAGACTACTCTCTCATTATGCTTAAAAATGGCCAACTCTCTCATTTAGTCATCAATGTTCATCTTGAAACATCAAGTTTTCTGAAAAAAACAAACTCAGAGGAGATTACAAAGAACAGCTAAGATAACTGGTTTAAAAGCAGGAAGCTAGTAAAAAGTATACATTTACAAAGAAATAAAAAATTCAGCCAATCACTGAAATTTCTAGCTTCTTTATATGCAAAAAAATTAGATTCTGATCAGAATGAGTAGCATACAATACTTTAAAAATGGACTATAACTGCATACTATACAATATCGTACTAACAATTTCGACGGAATAATTCAAGTGACTGAGTAAGAAAAAAGATCATTTTTAGTTCTTGAGCTGGATGATGCAGAACATTCTGGGGCCATGACAATGGTAAGAAACTACAGAAATAAAAATCTTTATAATGTTCCAACTTTCCTCTAAGCAGTCTTGAAATCTTTTGCAACCTTTACTGAACTTTTGATGTCGAAAGCTTCAAAAACCCTACTCTCCTGCCAAAAGCAGCAGCTAGTCTGACAGAGGAATTACTGGGTGGTGATCTACACCTGTACTTACACATTTGTTAAGATTAGATAACTATTTAAAGTTGCCTCGCCTGATGTCTAAATAAAGATTATGTCTGTGAATCATCTCATTCATGGGAGCTCATTTCAGTGTTAGGTTTGATGCAGCAAGAGTACTTGAGGACAAGATGTTAAAAATGTGCTCTACACCGCAGCCAGCCAGAATGGCCCAACTTGGAGTCTCTGGCAGAGAGCACCTGGACAGACTTGAGGCCGGCCTCTTGAGAGACCTGATGTACTCCAACTGAAAAAGGCGATATTGGCAGCGTATGAGGGAGTTTGAGCTGCTTCAGAGGTGATCGGTACTGAAGCACAGCTCCTCCTGGCGCCCCGACTGCCAGGGCTGGGCTGGATGTTCAAAGGGAATGTACCCCCTACACACCACACAACTGATGTCACATCGAGTAAATGAGTCACACTTATCACACAAAGGGCTCGAATAGGAAG